TTCTCTCTTACACACACAGACACAGACACAGACGACACAGACACAGACACTGACAAACTGACTGCAAGTTACCGTGACTTGGTAAATCGACGAGGGTGATACACACTTTTAAATCACAGTACTTTCAAATGATAGTGTTGCCCACGTCTTACTGTATCTTGTCTGGGCTCCAGTCCCTCCATGTAACGTACGAACTTTATACTCACAGTCCCCGAGGCATTGATGCCTCAACCTAGGCCCAGCACTGCCTGGGCGCCCAGCAAGTCTGATGAAGTTGCGGCGGAATCACAAGAGGACGCACCGGAGCCGACAGTGGCGCCTCAGCCGGTCCCCGCGGTTGTGACGCCCGTGGCTCTCTCAGAAAAGATCAGACATCCGGCACCAAAAGTGAATCTCAACCCAACGCTGGACGATCTCCTCGTCTATTTCCTGATGTTGTAATGCAGTCACGCGCGGCGCCGGTAAGGAAATGTTACCAAAAGAAATAACATTTTATATAACGTTACTACAACAATCTGATACGCATTCGCCCAGGCATTTCGTAAAAGGGGGAAAACTTGCATTTTCTACCGGTTCGTGAGATAACTTGCTGGGGAACAAAATCACATGCATCGAGACATTCTTGAAAATTGCCTATATGATGAAGAGTGACCTGATTGCACCCCTCCAGTGCCGTTGCCAAAATCACCCACAGTAGCGTAGTTTCGTCGCTGGTACTGAGGTCGGCAAGCTAGTGGTCGTTGACCTTTAAACTTTGATATGGAAGCCAGTTGATTCAGGGCTGGATCAGTACGTGTTTCAAAGTCTAAGTTTGCGGCTTAAACAGGTAAAGCTTTGCATATTGCATGTGTAGTAAATGCCAGAGACGTTGCAAGACAAATGTAAAAGTTGCAGATGTTGACTACAGACCGTAGTCAACATAATTTTAATGGTGGTAGAGGGGGAGGGGCGTTAGATATGAGACCTGGAATAATTCCCATGTACATATCGATGTTATAGTCTCTACCGTAACAAGACTCGGTCCAGTATTTCTTGTTTGCTCCAATTTTCAGGTGTGATCACAGGCCTCCAAGAAGCATGTTTCAAGATGCCTGCATCGTGAGTGTCAGTTGTGGTGGAAGCAACAAGGCTGGTTCAGCTGACAACCTTGGCAACGTCACAGGACACAGCTGTAGTGGTGTAATTGTGAACAGACACAGAGGTGTAGTCTTGTCTCACGGCATAGCCTTCAGCCCTTACATGCCTGATGGGTTCACTTCTCACCAAGTAAGGCAGCAGGGCTGGTACAGGCCTCAAAATACAGACAGATTTCACATAGAAGTCATAGTCAGGTCTACATCGGGTATCGTCCAACCTGAAGCTAGTAGACAATACCAGCCACGCATTCAGCAACCCATTCCTGCAGCAGCTTTGGCTGGAGGAAAGCTAGCACCCCATTTGGAATCACCACCAGAGAGGAAGTGTTCAGCAGATTTGCTGCTACTGTGGAGGTGCACTGACTTTGACGATGCTGTGAGAAAGTTGATGCCGAAGTACGACGGTTGGCACTTTGACGAACCTCCAAACAATCCAGCCGATAACCGTAGAGACACTTCGCAACAGATTGAGACAGTCCAATCCCGTGTCAAGACCGACTTGCTGGCAGAGGTCTCCCTGTCTTGGTTTGCTCTTCTTCAACTTGAAGACTCTGGAAGAGGTGCTGAAACCTCGGTGGTTGTTACAGGGGAACAGGCTAGGATAGGTTCGCCTGTCGTGGCAGTTGGAACGCCGTTTGGTGTTCTGTGTCCGTCCGTGTTTATGAACAGCCTGGTGAGGGGGATCGTCTGTAACACCGCGGGGAAGGATGGAGCGCTGATCCTCACAGATGCACGATGTCTGCCTGGTACCGAGGGTGGCCCACTGCTCACCGCTGATAGGGATGGAAAATGGTGCGTATACTTGAATGTGTTTTGTTTGTCTCCTTTGTTCATTTGTATAGCAATGCATTTTCAGTTCTGACCAACTTGAATTTACTTTAAAATGAAACCCTTTTACAGGCTGTTGCTTGGTCTGGTGGCTGCACCCCTCTGCTGGAAGGCGAATGAGTGGATAGGACTGTCCTTAGTCTGCTCCTTCCGTGGTGCTCTGGACTCCTTGTCCCGTGTCATGCCCTGGCCTCTCCTCACAGCTGCCACAGTCCCACACAGCAGCCCAGAATCACCGCATCCAGCTCTGTCACAAGTGGAGAAGTCTGTAGTGATGGTAGAAGCTGGGGACATGTGGGGGTCGGGGGTTATTGTGCATGTGGATCAATCTAAAGTGTATCTTCTGACATGCCGGCATGTGGTCGGGCCCTCCTCTAGAGTGAATGTTGTACCGCATCATGCACATAAAGTCAGGGTGACAGGATGTGTTGTTTATGCCACTCCCTCAGAGTCAGTCTATGATTTAGCAGTAGTGGAGTTCCCTAACCCAGGGGTAGAACTTGTCCCAGTGAGAGATACAAGGAGGTACAACCAAGGAGAACAGTGTTTTGCAGTTGGTTACGCCCTTTTTGGTCAAAACCAACAGCTGAAACCAACGGTGACTGCTGGAGTGCTGTCTAATGTGGTTACCTGGGAAGGTAATCCCATCATGATCCAGTCCACATGTGCAGTGCATGCTGGGGTTAGTGGGGGTGCCCTTTTTGACCAGCAGGGACAACTGATGGGGATTGTAGTGAGCAATGCAAAGGATGTACAACTCAAAGCGTGTTATCCACACCTAAACTTCATCATTCCTTCAACATCTTTTGCAAAACCATTGAAGAGGTTTGTACAGAAAAGAGATATTGCTTGTTTGTCTGAGTTGGATAGTAACAATCACTTCTTGCAAGATGTGTGGAATCTGCAAGAACCCAAACCATTACTGCAGAGCAAGATGTGAAAGCTCTACCATCACTAGACTATCACAGCTTGTAGTTAAATTGTTAGATTCTTTTAATTTCATTTGTATTTCATAAAGAACACTTCTGTAATAGCATGCAGCACAAAAGAAATTTTTTATATTCCAAATCAAAGACATTATTCATTTAACCTAGACATACTTATACATTGTATTTGTGACATTTGCGTACCTTTTTGTACCTATTGTTTGAGGGTCTGAGAATAAATTTCAGAAGAGTATGGCTTCCAGACAGTACATTTATGAGTGCTCTGTCAGTGATCGAGCCCTGTGTTCTGGTAGGCTGTCTCTAAACTCAGAGACCACCAGTGTGATGACAGTCTAAGGTGTGGTTTATTGGTCAAACATTACCTGTGCAATCACAGCCTTTTATAGCACTGAATTGACGCAGGGTTTACAATCACATAATGATAATCCATATGATAAATGTAATGTACATGTATGTGCTCCACACAAACTTTTTGTGGAACTGTCGCAAGGGTCTGTGCGGCTGCCATTCGGTGCCAACAGTCATGGTGACTTTCCTTTCCCCAACCAAAATCAGATACCAATTCACACCTAAAGTGGGGCACAACATTGGGGCACATGTCCAGACATTTCCAGGGTAAAACTTGGGATAGAACCCGATCTCGCTGTTTCATAGTCGAACGCTCTATCACTTCACCACCCGACGCCAAAAGTGTTCCATAGCACATGTTGAATACCATGTCTAATACCTGCCCATGATGGTATGACATGATCTTTTCTACAATTGCTCTAGTTAATTAATTATTAATTGAGATGTATGCACATCTACAAGGACATGTAATACTGTTGAATACAGGAATATATTTTAAGCAGTTGCAACTTCTTCTTCTTCCTTGTAATGCCCATGTTCATCTTGTGTTGAACATCATGGCATGTTGAAGAGGTCAGAGGTTTACTGCTTAGTGTCTTAATCTTTGTCCATAACTTTCTTTAATGATAATATCTTTGTGGATTTCAGATAGAAATTTCTGAAAATAGATAACTTTTAACTGCTGATAAATGACTGAAATACTTTGGTGGCTGTAATCAGATTTTCAATACCAAGATAGAGTCCTCAGCATTTTTGTTGTCTAATAGCTCTTTCCTATTTTTTTACAAATCAATTAATTGTTATGTAAATGAGATGAAGACAAATTCTGTACAGACAAAAAGAACTGGATGCTACTTGAAGCACCTCAAAATCTCTCCAGCTTGAGTAAGTATCTTTTCTGATATTTTCAACCTATATAATCATGTGTGTGCTGCACCCTTTCTGTTAATTCAATTGAATGTATTGTGTTGTCATTGTAGTGTCCATGTTCAAGATACATGTTTTGTGATTTGTGTGCTATAATGTGTATTTTTCAGATGTGCAAAATGGGTTTGAAAAGCAAGGATTTGACCCCATCAACTGCTGTGGAGTCACAACCAGACCAGGACATGAAAAAGGGGAGCTGCTGTCTGGTATATAGAACAATTTTTTTCATGGTACCTACCAAATATTCCTTGCTAACATTTTGTGTCTTTCAACATACTGTCCCTTAGTACGGCAGTATAATGTTATGATAATATTGCACAAAAGAATTATGTATAATGTCTATTGATGCTATGGTTTCATGTCATGTAAATTCAGATATCCGTATTTTATTTGTTCACATTTGGTCAATTTTTACTCCAATTGCAGCTGGCTGACAAAATCCCGGCTCGATATATATTGTCGGCCTTGTTTTTCTTGGGCATGATGTTGTTAATCACAGCCAGCCACGGATTTAGTGTCACCATCGTTGTCATGGTGAAGAGTTCATCGCCTGCTTCACCTGTCAATCAAAGTGGGACCTACCAACTCTGTACGAGCAGCGGGGTTGGAAATACTTCAGTACAGGTAGGAAACTTTATTATATCCAGGACCTGTATATTTTGGTACTGTACAAGATATCCATTTTCTTACATTGCATTCTTTAAGATATAGAACAATGATACCACATCAAGGAGTTAGAAGGAAAATCAAATGCATACACCAGCTTAGCTGTGGCGACTCAGTAATCCTTTTTGTGTATGATAATACTGAATACATTATTGTCATACAAAAAGGATTACTGAACCACCACAGCTAGAGCGGACCATACTGCAGACAAGACTAGTGATGATCCCTCGCACAGTATAAACTTTAATAGTACATATTGTGCAAAGGATCATCACATACATGTACTATGTACAATGTACATGTACATGTATGTGTATGAACCGCAAATGCCATATGTATGTTACCGTGTCAGTCCGTACAGAACGAGGAGGGAGAACTGGAATGGAGTAAGAGTCTGAGGGGAGTTCTCTTGGGAGCGTACTATTATGGCTACATCATCACCCAGGTACGTAGACTTTTGTATTGCAAGGTCAATGTATAGGGAGACGTAAACAAGCTATTTCATGCATCGTATATAAATCAAATGATTTGATTTTAAAATGTTAACTTCCATATAATGTTATCTTCCTTGTTAGATGTTACACTTGTGGGGTCTGAAATTATTCCATCTATTAATGTCGTCCTTCTTATATCTCAGGTTGAGGAGCAACCTTGAGAGATGGACGTCCTCACTGATGCAACATACAGAGCATGTTTGTTCCTTGTAAAGCAAAGTGTATCTGTTATCTTTTGTGTCTGTCAAACCTGCAGTATTCAATTTGGCCATACAGGTAGTAGGAGGTGTGTTGGAGCAGAAGTTGGGCGGCAAACTCGTGTACGGGACAGGCTTGTTAGCGACAGCTGGCCTGAACAGTCTTGGTCCCGTGGCTTCCAGGGCCAGCCCTTGGGCGATGTTTGCTGTCAGATTCATGATGGGTCTGTTTTCAGTAAGTTATATAATGAGGAGTTTATTTACAAGTTCATGCCCGAAGGCTAATTGCAGCATACATTGTGTACAACATTGAATTTCATAAAGAGAAACAATTGTTTATTCTATTCTATTCAAAACAATATTATTGACTATTCTATTCAAAATACAATCTTAACTTTTTGGGTATAACATATTGAATTAAAACATACTTTAGATATATCAAGGAGATTTAACCTGCTTGGATATATTGAATTTCCAGATGCAAATTATACAAAAGTCATGTATTCTGGTTGTCACTTACGAAGAACTTCCATTCTACAATGTACATGTAATGATGACTTTGAATTGATGTCTCTATTCTGCAGGGAGTTTTGCATCCCGCCATGTATGGAGTCTGGGGTCGCTGGGCTCCTCCCACCGAAAGGTCAAAACTTCTGGCCCTTTGTGCCATAGGTAAAACATGTGTAGATTAATCTTTTGGGAGTCATCCAATAGTCTGTCTTAGTCACAAACTCTACTTCGCAGTCCTTTGGGATTTCTAGATTGTTTGAAATCGTGTCTTAGCTCTTAGCCAGCATCTGAACATGATATTTTTTCTTCACCTCAATCTAGGGTTGCCCACTGGTAGCATGATCAACTACCCGCTGGCATCCTTCCTAGCTGCTGAGTTGGGCTGGGAGACTATCTTCTATGTCCCTGGTAAACAAATCTAAAAATATCATCCTCATCCCCATGTCAATACGGTTATGTTCATAAGACTGTTTTAATCAAATAATGCTCCATGTGAAGGTTTAACAACACTCTTTGTTGTTATAGACGAATACATGGAGGCTGCTCAATACCAATAGCATAATAGAATCATCTACATGGTGTAGAAAATAGAATATACATGTACCCAATACAAATGAACCTACTTTAGGGTCTTACAGATGTCAACTCCGCATACATGGACATTGCAACAATTCCTGTGCAATCCTGAAATTCTTGAAGCGGGCCTAATATATATTGTTTATAGGCTTGCCCCCGAGGCGTCGTAAAAAATATGGGAGAATGACTTGAATTACCACTGTACGTATTCATTAACCCACAAATTATAGAAAAAGTGGGATCCTTTGTCTTCCTCTGTCTTCAAAAAAGAAGTCAAACCCAGTAGTTTTTTCTACTAGTAGTCTCTTAATAGTTATCAGTAGTTATATGTGTACTTATTACCTGTTTTTATACAAATGTTTCTTCTGTTCATGCAATTAGCCTTCGGGCATGAATTTGCAATAAAACTTTCCTATTAAAACTTTCCATACTAGGAGTTTTTATAACATTCTGGCTGGTGGCATGGCTCCTCCTGGCTTATGACTCGCCTGCAAAACATCCACGAATCCTGGAGGAAGAGCAGAAGTACATCGAAGACAGTATCGGGGATAACGTACCACAGGTAAGATGCAATCTGTTATTTGATTTTGAGCTTAAGAAACATACTAGTATCTTAATAAGTTATGGTTTGAATATTAATAGACACTACCCTCTCTTTGATAGAAACCACGAGTTCCATGGCTGAAAGTATTCTCGTCAGTTCCGGTCTGGGCTCTCATTATTGGACAACTTGCTTCAGATTGGTCCAAATACTTTTTGCTGACACAACTGCCAAACTACATGAAGAATGTGCTGGGGTTCAACATCAAAACGGTAAGCTGTCATGTGTCAAAGCTCTTTACCTGCCAATTATTGTTGTGTCATGTACTTTGGGCCGAAGCTACTTTAATTTAATAGAACAGTAAATATGTACAAATCTGCTCGCATCATTCAACTTACATTCTCAATTGATGATTTGATTGCAAACCAAGAAATCGGACTAGCCCTAGGGATCAGGGAAGAATTGACATGGTTTATTCTTAGACTAGCTCTAACTTGTCTAAGAGCTTACAAATATTACTTCATAGACCCGTAACTGACTTACTTTCTGTATCTTCTAGAACGGCTTATTGTCTGCTCTTCCATACTTTCTTGCCATGATCTCCATGTTGGCGTCAAGCATTGCAGCTGACCGCTTGATTGAAGGCGGGAAATTCCCAAAGGTGTGGATAAGAAGAGGATTTGCTGTTACAGGTGATGTAGTTTTCCCTTACCTTACCTCAGCCCTTACACAGCTAGAACAATTACCAACATTGCACGATATTGTTGGCCAATGTTATCCTCTTTATTGTGAATTAACCGGTATGGTTTTCTCCACACAGGATTTTCCGGCATGGTAATCTGTGGAGTGATCCTGGCGAACCTGAGCGGATGTAACCCTGTCGCTGCTGTTGCACTGCTGTGTCTCTCCGAGGCCTTCAACGGTCTGACGACAGCAGGCATGCGGGTGGTCCATGTTGAATTTGCGCCCAGGTTTAGCGGTGTGACCTTCGCACTGGCCAACACGGCAGGGAATCTTCCAGGGATCTTTGCTCCTCTGTTGGTCGGCTTCATAACAGAGAATGATGTGAGTACACAAAACAACTCAACGCAACACAATTCAGCTCGATACAACTCAACAGAACTCGATGCGTGGTGCAACACAACACGACATTTCAGGCTATTTAAATTGCAGTTGGGAACAATTTCAAGATCACCCAAATTTTCACATGGGTACCAGTATAAAGCTTTGAATTCTGTTTCTCCACGCATGAGGGGTAAGAAATGCAATGTTCTGCATTCCCTTCAACTTGTTGGCTTTCCTGTTGACATCCATGCTTACTTTGCCTGACAGGTGCCTGCTGGGACAGGTTTGACTGTATGTTTGTGGACTCTTTCAGCCAACTCTTGCTGCCTGGACAAAAATCTTCTACATAGGAGCAGCTATTCAGGGAGTGGGAGGGATTTTCACAGTGGTGTTCATGAGCACCGACGTCCAGCCATGGGCTCGGAAAGAGGGCGACCAAGAACCCAACATCACTGAAAAGGTTCGTACAAAAAGTGAAAACAGAGTGGTCAATTTACAAGTTACAGAAAATAAGCTTGAGATATATTATATAGCTATGAAAACATTTGAACTTTTCATTTACATGACAATACATTTTATGTAACACTGTCATTGTTTCGTCATAAGCTCAATGCAGAGGGGAGATACTATAATCTCTATGTTGATAGCAAATATCTATTCTTCAATTTGCTATCAACATATGGGTCTGTACATGTAGGTTAGTGTACCATAGGAGTTCTATCGTATAAAATAACAGAGTGTATTAAATTGAGTGTTGTGACATGTTTTCACAGGTGACAGAGCTGGCTCATTCCAAAGACCTCATCATTACTAATGAACATGCTCAGCCTGATATATCAACACAGAATATCAACATGTTCATCACAAAGTTATAGATAATTTGATCCCTTCTGTGAACATTTGGTCAAAAAGTTTCTTTGCTGTAACAGTTTTACTTTTTGCTTTAGTCAGAAAGGTATGTAATCGGTAGATTCTGGTGGAGCAGCTGTGGCGTGTCCCTGTATTAAGGACAACGTCATAACTCGAGTATTTGTGGATGGATTTTTTAAATTTCAGCATGTCGGTAGCTACTAGTATTGTGAAAATGTAGTTAGAGGTCAAAAATGGTCCACCTGGCTTTTACCAATGGTACTGCAGCTGAGTTTTTTACATTTGTATATAAACATGCATTTTTAAATGTTTTTATTTTTTTATTTGTCTCATTGATCATGGGAATAAAGTCGTCAAAAATTACGATAATCTTGTTCAATTTATGGTTTTCTAAACTCAAATTACAACTGTTGCGTGTCAAATTCCTATCCTTTGGCAATTTTTATTTCAACGTCTCCATTAGGCCACACCAATTTTAATTTCTTGGTTAACGGATTTTTTTAGAAAAATAATGGAGCGGGCGGGCGGAAAAAATAAAAACAGGCCTAGGCCCATAGTTTGGCCCATATGGTCTAGTGGTTAGGATTTGGCGCTCTCACCGCCAAGGCCCGGGTTCGATTCCCGGTGTGGGAACCAATGTAATATTTCGGGTCTAGTGGTAGTTTGATATCTTAGCGTCTATTAAATGTGCAGAAACACACACAGAAACACCAAAACAGGCCTGCACCAAAAACAATACCGCCATTTTTCATGGAGGTAACAAAACAAAACATCTACACCTGGCGAAAGCATGACGTGTTCCACGCGTGATGTTGTTAGCAAGTAGCTGTATATAACTGTATATAAGTTATAGTTGCAAAAGTAACGCTTTCCGTACTGGTGTTCCAATGATTCC